GGTGAGCCAGGTGGGCAGCCATGCTGAGGCCCTCTCAGACTGGTTCAACATGGAGTTTTAATATGTGAATGTAGTATGTGTTCCATGGGTGCAGAGCTCATCACCACCTTGGGTGTCACTTTTCCTGCGTGCACATTTGGCATTTAACCCAAACCTCTCAAGAGTTGAGCAGCTCCTCATGTGTGGAGTGACACAACAGGCTAAGCCATAGCAGCAGACAGAGGATTTCCAGTCAGTGCCAGCCAGGTCTCAAACAGCTGTAGGAAATATTTCCACTGCTGCAGAGAGAATCTGATTTATAATTTAATGCAGGTGTTTTCAGAGAGGCCACAGTAGAAGGGGACTGATGCTTTTTGCTAGCACAAGAAGGTAGGATGGAGGAAGGCTCTGCTGTGCTGAGCTCTGCAGTTTCCCTGAGCAGGGGCTGAGTAGAGATGAGGCCAAATGTATTAGGATGAGGCACCCAAATACAGTAATTCTCACTTCCTACCCTACAGCTGTGAGTTAAAGTTCAGCAATGTGCACAGATCAGCCCTTTAGAGTTTTGATCTGTCCATTTGAAGGCTGTAATACCGATGAGACAATTTCTGGGAACATCCAGTCAGGATAGAATATATTGAATGAAAAAAGCAGAGTCTCCCTCCTCCCTGGTGCTATATTGGGGAGTGGGGGGACAGAGTAGGGTGGTGGTGATCAGGACTGCAGGCCAGAGGGGATGTTAATTTCTTTATGCTACTGACTTAAAGCAAAACATTGAAATTCTTAAAATTGGTGGTATTGATAGTCAATTAATTTCTTACCAAAGAAATCATAAAACCGCAATGATTGTGGATTTTGCCTTGTGCTGGGTTAAACTTTTAGATGTGTTCAGGTCTTAACACCATGGAGATTCTGGTTTATGACTATGCTGCCTGTTTACTGCTGTAATACAAATACTGTTGCAAGGAATATATTATAGAAGCATGTACAGTTGGACAGTGGATACCTACCGTAATTGATGATTGCTAAGGAATGTGTTTCCATGCCAAACTTTCCCCAGGAAGGGAATTAATGTATGTGTAGTGATTGCTAAAATAATTCTGCTCCATCCAACCTCATTTGTAACTTGACATGGGTTTTGGTGGAAGTATTTGTGAAAATCGACAAAGAGTAAGTGATAACAGATTCAATTAAATTATTACATTTCTAATGTACAAATTAACAGGGTAGGAAGAAACTTCGATTCTGGTTCCAATTTCATCCCATCTTCTTAATTGTATGTGCAGTAACACCACACCTTGACATTTGCAAAGTGGCATCAGATCACCCCGAGTTTGAAATGTGATTCCTAGCCCATGATTATGTAAAATTAAACTGCTGCATAAGTATGTTGGGAATTTGTCAGGACAACCCCTGCATCAAGAGACAAATATTTAACAACTTCATGAGTACTTTCCAATATACTAACAAAAAATTATGTAGGAGTAAGAAATAGTATTGTGTAGTCATACATTTTGGTTTGTTGAACCTATTTCTAGGTACTATTTTGAGCATTTCTGTCAGCTGCATTGTAGCAGACTTAACAAAAAGGTACACTATAAATCACTCTGGGTATTAGAGCTGACAGCTGTAAATAAGTACAGCTGACAGCTCAAATACTGTTCCATTGACAATATGTGGTCTAGATGTGTTAACAAATGTGTAGACTCAGCAGTTTGGGATTAGTTTAGCAAATACATTACAAAACAGTGCTGTGATCCAGCAAAAAGCATAATGTCTGTGTATCCCTGGTCTGCAGGCTTTGTTAATACTGTAACAGGCTTTTGTAGCTCTGTATGAAAATATGATACTGCAGCTAGATGCAGGGGTCCTGCTAAGAGTATCATTCATCTCCCTCAGATTTCTTCTTAGTGTGATGTCAAGGAATGTGCACCACTATCTGAGTGTCGTGGTGAGTAGACACGGTTTAATAATGGATGTATTTGCTTTGCAGGATCAGAGATTTCACAAAGGAAGGTAGTAGCTTTACGCTAGTTTTGGTTATGATTAATGATACAAAGTTACCAAATAGAAATTAAAAACGAGATATTTAAATGTTTTGATTTGTTTAATGTTTTTAACAGGAATACCTGGAATATTGTCACTAGCCTGAAACTGTAGTACATGTGAAAGAAAAGCTGGGAAGAGAGGATGAGGAAGGAGCTAGACAGTTAAAAGGATTTCAGCTCTGAATGTGAATTATAGCAATATATTAATTATTTCCCTGCTGATCACAAGAAAGAGAGAGTTTTAAATGAAAAATAGTCTTAGTTTGACATATTTAAAGCATACCATTTTTTATGCTTAGAGGCTGAGAAAGCCACTGTTGATTCTTTTAACTATTCACAGACAGTGTAACATGGCACAAGGTATTATACAGTAAATAATGTGAACATGAAATGGAACTCTGGAGACCTGTACTTTAATGGAATCACAAGTATTCTGGTATTTTCTAAAAATGTATTTTTATAGTTGTTGTGTCTAGTGAATAATTTTAGTATCCAATGTACAAGTGGTAATTCTGATAACCAGTTGCAACTTTTGTAGCAAACTGTAAGCATGAGTGTCAGTAGTAGCTGATTTCTGAATGCTGCCTTTCATGTCAAATCTTTGTAGTGAATTCAGTTGATTAATGCAATCCTTATTTCCATCCTGTTCATTAAATATATGATTATAGGAAGTGGCTGTTCATTCACTTCAATGAGCATCCATATCCATATGTTAAATGGTGGTTAAATATGATAAATAGGGCGAACTGTGCCTGACAAATTTGGTGGCCTTCTACGACAGGGTTACAGCACTGGTGGGTAAGTGAAGAGCAACTGATGCCATCTACCTGGACTTGTGCAAAGCATTTGACACTGTCCCATACAACATCCTTGTCTCTAAATTGGAGAGACACAAATTTGACAGATGGACCACTTGGTGGATGAGTAATTGTCTGGATGATCACGCTCAAAGAGTTGGGGTCAACAACTCGATGTCCAAGTGGAGAGAGCAGTGACGAGTGGTGTTCCTCAGGGGTCGGTGTTGGGACCGGTGCTGCTTAGCATCTTTGTTGTCAACATGGACAGTGGGATCGAGTACACCCTCAGAAAGTTTGCCAACACCAAGCTGTGTGGTGCAGTGACACGCTGGAGGGAAGGGATGCCATCCAGAGGGACCTAGACAGGCTGGAGAGGTGGGCCCACACAAACCTCATGAAGTTCAGCAAGGGCAAGTGCAAGGTCCTGCACACGAGTCAATCCCAAGCACAAACACAGGCTGGGTGAAGAGTGGATTGAGAGCAGCCCTGCAGAGAAGGACTTGGGGGTATTAGTGGATGGAAAACTGACTGTGAGCCAGCAATGTGTGCTCACAGCCCAAAAAGCCAACTGTGTCCTGGGCTGTATCAAGAGAAGTGTGGCCAGCAGGTCAAGGGAGGGGATTCTCCCCCTCTACTCCACTCTGATGAGACCCCACTTGCAGTGCTGTGTCCAGCTCTTGGGCCCTCAACATAAGAAGGACATGGACCTGCTTGAGAAGATCCAGAGGAGGCCACGAAGATGCTCAGGGGCTGGAGCACCTTTGCTATCAGGATAGGCTGAGAGAGTTGGGGGTGTTCAGCCCGGAGAAGAGAAGACTCTGGGGAGACCTTAGAGAGGCCTTCCAGTACTTAAAGGGGGCCCACAAGAAAGCTGGATAGGGGCTCTATCAGGGAGTGTAGTGATAGGACAAGGGGTAATGGCTTTAAACTGAAAGAGGGAAGATTTAGATTAGATGTAAAGAAGAAATTCTTCCCTGTGGGGGTGGTGAGACACTGGCACAGGGTGCCCAGAGAAGCTGTGGCTGCCCCCTCCCTGGAAGGGTTCAAGGCCAGGTTGGACGGGGCTTTGAGCAACCTGGTCTAGTGGAAGGTGTCCCTGCCCATGGCAGAGGGGTTGGAGCTAGATGGTCTTTAAGGTCCCTTCCAACCCAAACCATTCTGTGATTCTAAATATCTTTAGTTTTTCCTTCTTTGTCAGTCAATAAAGCCCTGTCCAGGAGCCTTCTCAATTACAAGTGCCTATTTGAAGCATTTGGAATTCTGCATACCATGTCTCTAGAAGGAGGCTTACTAATGGCATTTTGTTGTAGGCCATGGACCAGACAGGTCAGTGAGTAAATCCAGTTTGAATTATCACTATCACATACTTTACAAGAACATTCAAAAGTATAATTTAGCATTTCAGAGATTCCAGTAAAGTGATAAGTTGTTTTAGCTTACTCCATCAGAGCACCTGAACATCACTCTTTTTTAATGACTGAATTGTTCATAAAAAGATATTTCTTCAGCATTCCCAGAGAGGGGTGCTTTTATGAAGGACATTTTTAATATGGCAGACGTAGCCTGGAAATACTGGGTAGAGTACGTTGGAGCTTTCTCAGTGTGCATTTCTATAAATTCTTCCTTCAAACTTTTAGTCCTCCCTATTGAGAAAGCTAGAAAATATCACCAAGAATATATCTTTTGCTTTCCCTCTGCTTTTTAAAGCCCCACAGGTATCTGAAACCTGAAGTCCATATAGACTTTCTTTTTAATTCTTTCTGCAGGAAAGCATGTGGTTTTCACTTTATTGTCCTCTGCTTTGGTTAATGTAAAAAGAGTGCTTTGAAACTGCAACAGTCTCATGCAGAAACCACTTCTTAAGCAAAAACTTATGATTGCTTTTCACTTGGAAGTCAGCGAGAGATTTTATCCTCACCTATTTTACAACTATATCTGAGCTCCTTGTCTTTGACAAAGATCTGAGTGTTCTGAGAACATCAAGCTTAATCCAGGAGGCCTACTGTAAACAGAACTCCCATGATCTCAAAAGACGTTCCATATATGAAGGTCTGATAAGATCAAGATCTTGGAGAGAGTAACACTTCTAGTTTAAGAATTCACATGTTTCAGTTTAGCAGTCAGAAAAACAGACACAAGCTACAGTATATGATTAATTTTTATTGGATATTTTTAAGGGAAGTGTCTGCTAAAGTAGAGTTTAGAATGTGGTAAATGGTCCACACAATGAAAAATAAAACATTAATCAGTGTTTCATTATGTTGTTAAGGCAATGAATAAATAACAGACACTGTCAAGATAAATAAGGGACTTCTGATTTTCAAGGTTTTGGAGTGTCTTGTGTAGATTCATCCCAATTCTGTCTCGGTTGGTCCTTTTGAACCTCTAAGACTGCACCATTTCCTGGAATTCTGCAAAAGATAAGAGAATATTTACAGTATAAATATTAAAGCTAAGATCTTAGGAGTAAAAGATTAGTGGTTTATCAAGAGTTCTAGAATAGGAATGAACAGAAAACAGTTACCTGATAGATGGCCAGAGGAGAAGAAACATGTATGGAAGTAAGACATTGCCTAAACTTCCTCTTCTAAACAACAGGTGGAAGGGCAGTGTTTTGTTGACATTTATAAGGAATAATAAAATGTTCAGGGTAATTTTAGCCTTCTCTCAGAATAATACTGATTTTTGGCAAAAATAATGGAATGGCTAATATGGAAATCGAGTAAGAAGTTAAGAGCTGAAGTAAAGGAATCAAAAGTGAGTCCATGTGTCTTATTAGCTGTTCGTAATGCTTCAGCAGTTGGAAAGTATTAATTTAGAGCACACCCTAAAGCCAAAAACATTGTGCAGTTCCATGTAGTATGATACTGAAGTAGTGTGTTGTACAATAAGATGTTGTGATGTAGAAGATCTTTCAAATGTTTGTCTTCTGTATGTGATCAATCCCTTCCCTGAACAACTGTATTAGTATATAGATTGCTTCATAAATCACGTGTGTTTATTCTGGCACATTTCCTAAGGAGCTGGATTTAATTCCTTCCAAAGAAAGAAACAGAAGAGCTCTGTCCTCCTAGTGCTGCAAGCTAGGGAATCTGCACACTAGCACATTCCCTGCATGCTATTCCCTAAGCCCCTTTCACGCTTGTCTAGGCAGCTTGCTTCTCTCATGGGGGGTGAGTTGCCATTGGCTGCAAGCCTTTTGTGTGAGCGTGAGCTTCTTGTTCAAAATGGGTCACAGAAATATGGAATTATGAGATCAGGAGGTTTCTGCACGGAGCAGCCATTAAATTACACTGGCATTTCCATGAGGTGAGTGCAATATGCTGCTTCCTCAACAGCTGCTCCTTCTTATCTGGTCCTTAACCTGTCACTGAAGATAAATGGCATCCATCCTCATGCACATAACATGTTGTGGGATCTCATGTTGTTGCAGTGACACTTGATCATTCTGTTCTCCTTCTCGTGCAAAACAAATATTGAACTATGTGCTACTAGCTCTTGCATATTGTGAATGATTTCATTGACTAGTGGAATTTCTGTTGGGAGATAACTGCTGTAAATGATCTGATGTATGTGCTGTCTATTCTCCTTTGTAGAGCTGGTTCTTTTGTCCTTGATTTTACATTTATGTATTACAATTGGTGCTAGTGCTGCCTTACATCAGAGTAAGTGGGAGGATAAATAAGGGACAGTTCCTTTCAAAGCAACTGGAAATTTGTGAGTGAGTGGCAATGAGAAGGTTCCTTAGGACAACCTAGGTGGGTATTTTTTCCTTGCTCATGCAAAAGAATTTGCAGAGATGAACCTGTAAGGTCAGAGACAGTTTCCACCCTTAAACAGGTTGCTACTGCAAGGGTTTCAGTAAAATCAGTGGAGGTACATTAAGGTACCATCAAAATAAAACAGAATCACACCTCATTACAACACAGCCTGAGGAGCCTTACTCTGTATATAACTAAGTTAATACCTTCAGCCCCAATTTTACCATCCCCATCATGATCCGCAGTTGCCAAGAAGGTCTTGGTTTCTGAGGCGGTTAACACTCTGGCTCCACACTCAAATCTCTGAAGGAAATACCTAGGAAGAAAACAACTTTGATTGTGATTTCCACAGAATATTATTATTTTATGCTGGTTGTATAAACAAACTGATAACTATCTATAAATAAATTATTTACCACAATAGCCAAGTCCTCCCGACACTGCTTCATTTGACAAGCTAAATCTTAGTCATACATGTTCTACATTGTAAATCCAGCCCTGATATGACTGATTCTGCCCATTACAAAAATCCAGTCCCAGGGAGGTTTTTTTTTATTATACTGATCATTAAAGGCAGGTATTTATGAATTTGTTTTTCTCTGGAGTGATTATCTACTTAAATACACTTTCCACAATCTGCTGAAGGTTTTATCAATGTTTAGCATAACTTGTGCTCACATTTACAGAACAATTCTGGAAAGAAAAAAGTGTTGGATAACAGCCTCTAAATAGTTAACAAAATCCTTACTTGAGCTCATCTTCCTCAATAAAGCCACTTTGATCATTGTCGAGAATCCGGAAGATCTCCTTGAGCTGGCTGCTACTCTTTTTAGACATCCCACTGATCTGAAAGAATTTTTTGGGACTAAAGGAATCTGGAGCTGAAAATAAATTAATAAATAAATTAACCCAGACCACTGTGTTCACTGTTCCTAAATGGTCTGAGGATGCTGCTTTGTTACATTTTATTTGTTCTAAACATGAACAGTAGATAAAGCCTGTCAAAGAATGAATTTTGCTGTACTGAACCATACCCTCATAAACATCAAAAAAAATCATACAGGGATAAGTTACAAACTGACAATATAAAATAGTCATGAACAATTATACTGTGGCAGCTAAATAAAGAGATTACAGAAATCTGTTTACAGTATGCGTTTGTTCAGTATTCCTTTGGGACTGAATTAAAGTTGCCATGTGTTACACAAAATAATAGATTTTTAGAGTTCTAATTGTTTTCTCACCTTGGCAGTCTCGCAGAGCAGCAGCAATATCAGAAGGGCTCAGAATGTCTGTCAGGCTCATTTTAAACCTGTGCAAAATAGTATATTGCAAACAGATTTGTGAAATGCAAATGCATCTTACAACAAGTTGTTTTTTCTGTGTTTCAGAGAATACTATATGGCTAACAAGACTTCAAAGGGTAGATGAATCTAATTAATCAAACTGATATCGCTGGTATTCTTAAACAAATTGGAAGATTTAGTACAAATTACTGAAATAATACTTTTTAATAAAATGGATTACGTAAATGATGTTTGAGTTGATGATCAGTTTTTTATCAATTACCTGCACCCTATTTAAGTACAGCGCATTCTCAAATTCTATGTAACTGTTAATCTAATAATTATTCTTACTAGAATACATGGCATCTGTCAATACAAATAGCAGTATATGCAGTGGAAAAAAGAAAGTCAAGAAGGTTTGCTTCTGTTTTCTCCCCCAACAGATCTGAAGAATAAAAAGAAAACTAATACTTATCTATATAAGGTCCATCCACATGTAATTCCAGCAATTAAAATAAAAATCTTAGAACAGTGGTTATTGTACTTACTACTGGTGCAGCTCTGCACAGTAAATTCATTTAATCTCAAACCAGCTGCTCACCTTTATAGTTTTCTCAGCTCGGTAAAGGAAAAATAGCTGAGGAGATACCAGGCAAAATAGTAATGTTGGCTCTGGCTTGCCACTCTGGCTTATAAAGGATTCAAAAGGTGACAATAACCACTACTTAGGTTACTGTTTCATGGATCAAATGTTTGATTTGAGACCTAGCTCAAATTTCTTCCTTAACTAATTAAACTTTTCTTTCTATTTATATCCTAAGATAATATGGACAAGAACAACAGTTTTTTTAATAAATCCACTTGTGCTTAATTAAGTACAACTCTACCATCAAAACATACCCTTCAGTCTCCAGGTGTGCTAAAGATTTTCAGTTAACCTCTGGACCTTAAAGTCACTCATTGGAAGGTGACTCCAGCAGTCAAATCCCTATGAAAAGAAACTAGTTTGGTTTCCCTAAGTCTGTTGATGTTTTGGAATGTATAAAGGAAGTTGGAGATGAAGATCAGAGGTGACAGTGTGTTATTCTGACAAAGATAACTTGTCATTAGGATACAGGAAAGCATGCTATAATTTGGGGTGATCTTTCTGCAGTAAGCTTCATTTCATATTTCCTGACCATTTTCTAAATTACAGTCCTGTCTTCAATTAGGATAGAACAGAAACCAATGCCTTCAGTGACAGTAGAGCTCTGAAACTAGGTAAATCTGAATAAGATAATACTGTTGTCTGTGTTCCTTGGAAGATTATGTATAATCAGATGGCCTACTTAATAATCTATTTTGAATATTTTAAATTACATGAAATCAGTAATAGACTTACTTGAAGTTATAGGAACCAGACTTTGTTAGTGTAGAGATAGATTTATATACATTTTGCAACATGCCCTTACAATCTGTTTCATTAGTATGAAATTAAAATTGTAGGTATAACTAACTGGGGATTTATTATATATTTCAAGAGCATTAATTTTGGAAAAAAAACTTAAGAAAGTTTGGAACAGCAGATACAAGGTTTTCCTTCTCAGACGAAAATTATTTCCGTCTTTAGGGGGGTTATATGGACAAAATTCTACAATGAAAACCAATAAAAAACCACATGTATTTTGGTCAGAGTTTATTGTATAACAGTCTGTTATGGTATCTAAGGTAATGTTCTGATGCATTAGCATTGTTTTCTTTTTTACTTAATAGAAATAGCACGGTACACTGAACAAGTGATACTTTTTATAGTAGCAAAAATTACAAATTATGTTGTGGAGTAGAGTAGTAATATACCTAAGCCTTGGTGTAAGTTAATGGACTACAGTCGGTTTACTCCTGATTGATTTGATGACAGTGAGAAAAGCATCAAGCACAGCAATTGTGCCATAGCACCTGTTTGTCTGAGTTTGGATAGAGAAATATGCATATAATTAACATGAAAAAGCAGACATAATTTAATGATACTTTTACCTTTTTTGAAATCTCTTTTTTTTTTTTTTTGCAAAAGAAGGTGGCATAAATCACAAATAATCAGATTTACTTTTAGTCCCAAATATTAGCTGTCTAGTAACGAAAGAAAGTTCTCTTCTATCTCTTTCAGTAGGAAAGCTGTTTGTAGTAATTCAGAAGAACAGTGTCCTATTAAACCTAAGAACTATGGGCTGTTGTAAATTGGTATTGTCTGATTAAAATAAATTGAACGATGCTGATTTGTACAAGTTGAAGATCTGATCACAGGTCTTCTTGGTGTTCTGTTTATCTTCTTTGTTCACTACTATATATCCATATTGCTTTCTGTCTGAGATTTGCATGATACTATGATCTATTAAACAGTGGCAGTGGGAATGAAGTGCATATTGTGCTTTCTACTGAATCATCCTGAAATAGTTTTAATCTTTGCAGGTACCTTTTTGCACTATTGTGAATTTTCTCCTTTATGGTCATCTCAAGTTGATATGAATTTGAACAGAATGTTTTTTTTGCCGATTCCTCTTGACATTTTTAGTGCCAAGATGTTTCTAGAGAAAAGGTTTTTTTAGGCTTCTGTGATAGTGCCACAGATGTTACTTTATAGTAGGCTTCCTGTATTTCTGCTTGCTCCTACACACTGCTCACTGAACTGCTTGATTTGTTTAAATTTTTGACTTGCCATGCAACACTAGTTATTAAAAGCTAATGAGAATGAGGAAAAGGAAATGAAGTAGAGGAAAATTACGAGATCAAGGAGAGCATTTAATACTCAAGCTCAAAATATGTCTGCAACTAATTCAGGCATTATCTTAAATATAAGCACTAAATGCTCAAAGAATGACATCTGGTTACCTCATACACTCTGCTATGGCACACAGGGTGCTGAACTGTTTATGCATATGTTCAATGTAGTAAAGTAGCCAGAATTAGTATTATATTAAAATGATTTCAAATAAAAGTGAGCTAATTGATGCAGTAAGTTCACTATTATTGCTTATGAAGGGATATTTTAATGTTTGAAATTCAACACTGACAACAAAAGTGATGCTAATCCTGGCTGAAAGATGGTTTACAAAAGCCTAAAAGAGCTGAATTTCAGAATCAAGTTGATGTCACTGTATATTGATACAGGTGGGAATCTAGGGTTACTGGGTTTTATTTATTTATTAATGACACTTCATCTGAAGTACAGGTTTCCCTCCACTACAATTAGAATGAAATAATCAGGGATGTGTATATTATACAAAGGGATGTTTTAATTAGATAATCTATTTTACAGCTGAATTATATGCCTGTTTTCCTCACTTCTGGGGTATGTGTTAGCTTTAGTGATTGTAATCACTTTAGGGGTTTAAAACTGAGATCTATAAAAAAAATTTTTCTAAAAGATATCATACAAGCAGTATAATGTAAGAAAGAAAATGCAGAATAATTCAACCAGAACAATAGCTTCTAGCTAATGGGTAGTTAACAACAGTGCAAAATCTGGTACAGAATCTGAGTATTGCACAGGTTCCAGGAATGTTTAGCACTTGTTCCTGTGAAACTCAAGAAATTTTTTTGTTTGATTGGTTTTGTTTTGCTTTGTTATGTTTTCCTTTACTAGGGACATCTGGAAGTGCTATTGAGTTGTTCACCTGAAGATTTATGTACTACTATAACTTTACTTATGTTGTTTTCCCCCAGGGTGTCTTTATGCACAGTATATGCAGGAATATTAAAGCCTTATTTTGTTGTTGTTGTTTCAGACTCCCAGAATTAAACTTGTAGGTGTTCTGAGAAATACAGAACATTCACATTGATAAGTTCTTGCTAGGAATCTAAACATTTAAACCCACTGTTTTCAAATCAAGTACCATTCACTTCTCTAATAAGCAGAGGAAATTTGTGTTTTGGTAAATCATTGACAGGTTGTGGAATAGTCTTGTACTCTTCGTGTTCTGTTTGGTATAAAGTACAGAGTTAATTAGCAGTGGCAATCAACCAAGGACATGACTTAAAGCAGATGCAAGAGAAACATCAGCAGTTGTCTCAGGTGAGATCAGAGGAGAGGTGTTAACCTGAGACCAACTACAATAGTGTAAAGAGATGCTATAGCAGCTGTTCTAAAACCCACACAACTCCATCTTTCAGCCCTGGTTGTGTTAGGGCCAGAACAATTGTATCATGATCCTGGATAACAGATTCTGCCTTTGTAATCAGTTTGGAAGTAACTAAAATAGATACCCAGTAACCTATGTGGTTGACCATTAATGTTGATGTCTCAGTGGTGATGGCAGAGAATCTTAGTGTGAATATAGCTATAAGCATTGAAAAGGGCTTTTACAACAAAATGAATTATATGCTGCCGCTTCAAGTTGTCTGTTACAGCACATGCTTTAATCATTTAGGAATAATTACAGAATCTGATTTGAATGGTTGCTTGGGCCATAGTCTTTAACCTTATTTAACAGAGAAGTTTAAGAACACGGTTAAGTGTTTGACTTTTTTGGTACTGTGCATTATTACAATGAAGGATGAAATCCAGGACTTGGAAGCCTCAGTGAAAAGCTTTCTTTCCCTACAGCTATTAGAGGATATTACCCAGAGCACTGAGAAGAGATCTGGACTGTAGAATCCAAAATACAAGATACATTCTGCAGCACTGTGGATCTGGAGCTAGACAAAGACAGGTACTTTTCACATGTTAGGAGAATGTCTTGTGTACTTTCCCCAGTTTAAATTATGTCATCATTCTGTGTAAGCAAGATTGATTTCTATTTGATAATGATAGCAGAATAGACTGTCATAACTGATGCATAACTAATTCATAGAGATTGGTCTGATCAGGATATTTTTTCACTTAAAAAGCTGTCCTGGAAGATGTCTGCTAGCATTTGATATGCTATGTGTTTGTCTTTAAATGCACTTGCAAGTGCTTCTGTGACTCAGTAACACAATTTTCTGTCTCTGACCCTAAATATAATTGCCTAAGATGTTTCTGTCTCTTGTCAGCATTATAGACAGTGTCATATAGAATGATCTTTAAAAGTCTAAATTATTCAAGTTTTCTGTATATTTTAAGAATAACTGTGCCTAAGGTTGGAGGCTGTGAGATAATCTGGATGCTGCCTTTTATGACATGTAAAAGATATGTACAGTGGTACTATACTATTACAAAAGGCTTTTGCACATGGCTGTGTTTCACTATGTCCCACAGTGTAAGAAGCCATGATAAAATAAAGCAAATTGCATTGAAATGATTCCAACAATTTCTATATTCACTGCCTGTCCTCATTGATGTCAGTGGGATTTCTGCCATTCATTTCAGCAGTAGGAGGATGTATAACCCTCAGTGAGGTATAAAGTAAAAATACCCTATAATTAGAGTTAATCTTATCATAAGTAATCATCAAAAGTCAGTTGTTTAACAGAAATGGCCTTCTAAATAAAGGAGAAGCAGGTGTCTAGATTCAGACAAGCACTTAAAACACATGCATAAAGCATGTGACAAAATTCCGTTGACAAAAGGCAACCACATATTTAGGGACTCCAGCGGAAAGAGTTGGATAGAAACAATTTGCAGAATACAGGCCATGGTCTCAGACCTCCAAATTTATGACTCTACAATAGTGTTCTTCACTTTAAGGAATCTGTGTGGA